CAAGTTCTTCCAAGATGAGCTACTCGCTGGAGCCGCTAAGCAACCCCTCTTACCGGCGGGTGGCCGAGAGCCGGACCACCTTCAGCCGGGCCAGCGGGTCGCCCTCCAGCGGCTTCCGCTCTCAGTCCTGGTCTCGGAGCTCGCCCAGCCCGGCCTCGTCGACTTACAAGCGCAATGTGGGGCCCGGGCGGACTTCCTACGGCTCGACGGTGCTGAGCTCCACCGACAGCCTTGAGCTGAGCCAGTCGTCGCTCTTCAACGGCGGCGGCGGCGGCCTTGGCGGCGCTGGCAGCGGCGGGGGGGGGACGGTGGAGCTGAAGCTGAGCCGCTCCAACGAGAAGGAGCAGCTGCAGGGCCTGAACGACCGCTTCGCCGGCTACATCGAGAAGGTGCACTCGCTGGAGCAGCAGAACAAGGAGCTGGAGGTGGAGCTGGCCGCCCTGCGGCAGAAGCAGGTGGGCCGCTCGCAGCTGGGCGTCGCCCTGGAGCAGGAGCTGCGCGAGCTCCGCGGGGCCCTGGAGCAGGTCAACCACGAGAAGGCGGCGCTGCAGCTGGACTCGGAGCACCTGGAGGAGGACATCCACCGCCTCAAGGAGCGCTTCGAGGACGAGGCGCGCCTCCGCGACGACGCCGACGCCATCACCCGCGCCCTGCGCAAGGACATGGAGGAGGCGTCCATGGTGAAGGTCGAGCTGGACAAGAAGGTGCAGTCGCTGCTGGACGAGGTGGCCTTCCTGCGGGGCAACCACGATGAAGATGTGGCCGATCTGCTGGCCCAGATCCAGGCCTCGCACGTCTCCGTCGAGCGCAAGGACTACCTGAAGACCGACCTCTCGTCCGCCCTCAAGGAGATCCGCTCCCAGCTCGAGTGCCACTCCGACCAGAACATGCTCCAGGCCGAGGAGTGGTTCAAGTGCCGCTACTCCAAGCTCACCGAGGCCGCCGAGCAGAACAAGGAAGCCATCCGCTCGGCCAAGGAAGAGATCTCCGAGTACCGGCGGCAGCTCCAGGCCAAGAGCATCGAGCTGGAGTCCGTCCGCGGCACGAAGGAGTCCTTGGAGCGCCAGCTGAACGACATTGAGGAACGCCACAACCAGGATCTCTCCAGTTACCAAGTAAGCCAAGGGCTCGGATAGATGATCTCGGGGGGAAGAGGGACGGAGGGGGAACTCTCCTGGAATCGGGTTCTTTTCGAGCTTGTAGAACACACCCCCTGCTGGGCATTGCGACAGAGGGGAGGGGCGAAGTAGAGGAGGAGGGGCCTCCTTTTCATGGATAAATGAAAGATTAAATCAAAGAGGGTGTGGCGGGATGGGAGGGGGAGTGGACTTGGGAAATGAAAAAACAATAAGTCCCTACAATAACTGAAGGAGGAGGAGAAAGAGCCCATCCTGTCTAAGTTAAACTAAGACACTAGGGGAGGGACCAATGGTAGAGGTGATAACAGAGAGGACTGATGCACCCACCTCCATGAGAAAGACGTTAACATCCAAGGGGGGCTTTCAGCTTTAACATTCTGGCTGTGGGGGGTGGAAATAGGGCAGGAAGAGGCCTATTCCCCACAGTCAAATTGGGGGGGGGATTTTGCCAGCTTTCAGACATAATGGAACTGGGAGGGGCAGGCAAGGAGGGAAGGCAAACACTCTCTCTCCTTCCTCATTAGCTCAACCATCCCTACTAAATGGGAGAGTCTTTGTGACATCCCAATTGCAAATCTGAGTCAAACTGAAATCCATAAGTTATAGCTCCAGGGCAAATCCATTTATCAAATGTGAGTGACCAGACAAAATTTCTCCTTATGTCTCTTTGGGGAATAGATCACGTGTCACAATACTTCTGTGAGATGCCTCTTGCTTTTCTGCTCTTCCTGGCCTCCTTCCAATGTCTTTCTTGGCAGGTCCCAACCCATCGGGAGCATGAGTGTGCCAGCCCCAGAATTTCTGCCAGGGGTGCAAAGAGAGAGGGGGCCTAACACAGCTTCTTGAGGGGTGCCACAAAAGGGAGGGGGGAATGGAGCAAGGAAGAAGAAGTTATTCTTGTAGTATGTGGGACGTCACCTCAAGAGATGTCATCTTGTAACTGAGAATGGGGCGATTGGAACGGGAAATGGCACTTCAAAGCTCATAAGATGCAGAGTCCTTTAAAAATAAATAAATCATACTTTCATTTCAGGCCATCCCAAAAATGCACAAATTGAGAAGACTATGCAAGTGATTTTCATCAAATAGAATTCGTGCTGGATCAGAAGTTGCTTGGGGGAGGAGACGTGGGATAAAAAGAAATGCAGTTCTTGGGGATTTTCTCTCTCACAATGCAGCTGCTGAAAAAGGGATTAGGGAAGGAAAATTGATTCTAGTACACAGTTCCAGCAATCCATTTCCAAATACTATTAGCACTATTAGAGAGAGAAGGCTTCAAAGTTAATTCAAGTTCCAATTTCTAAGGGTTACTAATGTTGACCAAAAAACCCCACAGGATTGGTTTTAAAAAGGCAAAATAGGAGAGATTCACTATGCAAAAGGAATAAATTGGGACATTTTAATAATGTTCAGAGGATTGCCTTAATTGCTAATAAGCTTAATCAAACCTGCATCTCCAACAGCATCCCAAAAAGTGGATCTGGGGGCAGGGGGTGGAGAAAAAGAAAAGCACTTATGAGTTGTGTTCTTTTCAGTTGTCAGCACTGATAAATGCTTAATGTTTCGTGCTTGAGCATCAACCATGATTCTGTGTCGGAGTTGCAAAGCATCTGGGTTGTAAGCCATGTCCTATAAGTAGGGTTTTTGTAAGCCATTAACATAGCTCTAAACGAAGGAAGAGTTGAAACAAGTAACAAATCAAGAATGCTCTACTCTTCTTGTATTTATTATTTTTTCTAGAGACCTAAAGAGGCTATAAAATGGGAGACAACAGATAAAATGATAAGATGGGAACAATCTGCATATAAAACTGTGCTTTAAGCATACCTGCAATTAAAAAACCCCAACATTTCTAGGATATCAAAGTTATTTTCCTTAACACTTCTCAAAAATCCATCTTGCAGGCTGATGACTCAGCAGGAATCTGAAGAGACAGTTGCAAGATCACTGGTTATAACCTGAAAGCGACAGTCATTGTGTTGTGCAGTTGGTGTTCTTCTTTTTTTTTTTTAACAAACAGTAACATTTGCTTTTAGGAGGCAACTGCCTGCAATGCAGAAAAGATTTCTGCTCAGCCAAGCTCTAAACAGACTAGTCCAGTGCAAAAGGAGACTCGGTGAAAATCCATGCTGCTATTTTATTTCAGATCCAGTTTAATCATCCTCCGTGAGGCCGTTTGGAAAGCAGACTCTACAAATCTATCTGAATTAACTTTTAGGAAGAAGATAAAAAGAGAAAAGGAAGAAAAGGAAGTCCGTCAGTCTAAATGCAATCTTATCCTGTCCAGTCCACCCCGAGGTTCTGCAATGCAGAACTTGCTGGCGTCAAAAGTCATAAAGTTGTCTCCTCTTGAGTGACATTGAGCATTACAAAAAGAAATGTAACCCTTTAAAACTAGGATAAACCTCAGTCAGCAAGCAGATCAGATAGGCTATGTTTCTTGGGATAGTTTAACCTCCAGCTACCCGTATTTCAGAAATTGATGCAATGTCATCTCCCTTACAGCTGCAAAATTGGCCATTGCAGAAGTGAAAAATGGAAACAGTGACAGAATGTATAACTGCAACGTCCAAGGCAGAGCAAAGGTTTCACCACTTAATAGCACCAGCTTTCTTTATATGCCAAAAATTCAGTTTCTAATGAAAACCTAAAACCTATGTCACATTCATTGGGATTTCCCAGGGAAAAATCTCTTGCACTGCAGGAATTATCTGAACGTAATGAAGATCCTGGTTGCAGAGATTTCCCATTCTATCTACTGCCCAAATATATTTTTTTTCTAGTGAAAATCTTGTAGATATGGAAAATCTGTTTTGGGCGTTAAGTACCATATTGTTCCCATGAGTTCTGAAGACTTAATGCTAACCTGTATTAAATCCCTTAGGATTTGATTAGGATATAATTACTAGTTCTGCTGCATCATCCATCCACCTTGCCAAAACTGCAGACACCAGAGGGAAAGGTTGCTGGGGATATCCACTCCCTCCACTAAGTTACCTTTTCTTGCTGTCATTGAAATGCTATTCCAGAGGATCTTTGGATAAAGATCCTTTTTAGAAAGCTGAACCAAAATTGGAAAAAGAGTCACCTCTTGTTATTCAGATCAAAGTCAACTGGTTTTTAAAAAGGAAGCTTCTTGGCTGACCATTTTAGCTGCAGTACATAAATAATCCTAAGTACTTGCTGCAGAGAGACAGTTTGGTCTAGTGGTTAAGCCACCAAGCTAAAAACCAGCAAATTTCCAATTCAGTCCCACTTTAGGCAGAACTGGATGACTTTGGGCCAATCATTTGATTTGAATCTTGATTAATGAAAAAGAGTTGGGAAGTTCATAGCTACTCCCAGAATTTGGGGGACCCAGACCAGTCAAAAGAATTTATTGGTCCAAATAGGCTGGTTCTCACTGATCTGAAACCTGTGTTAATCTTCACTGCACTGGATTATACTCTCAGCCCTAAGAAGCAGGCAGTGGCAAACCACTTCCCAAATCTTGCCAACAAAACTTCAAGGACTAAACTAGCCAAGTCAGTGCTGACTCAGAGATGTGTGTCTATGCAGTACAAACAGCTACAGGCATTTTTGTTGCTCGGAAAGAGATCATTTTTCAAGATCCCTCTTTTCCTGCCCAACTGAGATGATTCTGATTCTCAAGATGCCAACATTTATTTTCACAAAAAATGGCATGATTTATAAAAGAAAACTCAGTCCAGATAACCATCAGACATTTGACATTTTTAGGTTCAACCTTTTTTTTTTTTAGCCTGGTTCCCATCTGCCTTAGCCAGCTTGGCCATGATGGGATGTGTAGTCCAAAGCATTTAGAGAATGCCGGGTTGGAAAAGATCTTTTAATTTTTAGAAATGTTTATTAAGATTTTTTTTTAATAAAAGGGATACTCCAATAAGGATCTTCTCTACCAAAGAATAACAGGATAGTAGGATTCTATTGCTTCTTGGCTTTGAGCTCCTAGAACTTCATCAGCAATGGTTATTTTTATAATGCTGCAAAAAATAAAAACTATTCGTTCTGGTCAAGATAGAATTTTAAATTCATTATCCTTTAATTCTGCTTTCGGTCTGTTTTTTTTGTTTTTTTTAAACCCTCTCTGTTTCTAGTTTGTCATCTTTCCCACTTTACCTTCTCATTCAATCCTCCACCCCCACTCCCCCACCCTCCGGTATCCAAATGCAGTGAGTTTTTTTGTGCCCATCCTAAAGAACCATCTGTATCTTGGTTGCAGGACACGATCCAACAGCTTGAAAATGAGCTGAGAGGTACGAAGTGGGAGATGGCACGTCATTTGAGGGAATACCAAGATCTCCTCAACGTCAAGATGGCTCTTGACATTGAAATTGCTGCCTACAGGTAATGAGAACGCAATGCAGATGTAACCAGACAGGCAGTTTCTATTGCAGACACTTTTTTTAGCTGCAGCACAATTCATCTGCAACACAGGAGGCACTGTGACTGCTAGCCGAGAATTTCGCTGGCATCTTAGCACTCTTTGAATTTATATATCTGGTCCAGTGATTATGTTTTTTTGCTTCTTAAGTAACTCTGTCTTCTGTGTAGTAGAAAGCTATACAATTCCTTTGATGGAACACTTACTGGCTTGAAAGAGATCCACGGTGATTTTTCAATGGACTGTGCTGCTGTCCTAAGTGTAATTATTAAGTCCTGCTGAAGTCAACTAAACTTATATTTGGGTAGCAGCATTAAGCTATGGAGCTACCACATTAACCATGTGCCTGCTGAAGGACTAGGGGTGCTGTTTCTTGAACTTCATTTTCTCTCTCTCCTTTTGTTGCTCACAAAAGGTAGCTGCTGCAAGCTGGAATGGAAGATTTTCTACTTTTAAACGCCTTTAGAAACCCCAAAAGGAAAATTAAACTGAACATTTTTTAATTTCACATTAGTAACATAGCTACACCATTACGTCATTGCTATTAATCTTTATTTATTTATCTTTATTTAGGATTATTTGGGATTTTTCCAAAATCAGATAAAAAAGCTCCAGGAAATTGCTAATCTAGGGGACTATTTTGATCACAAATAAATAGTTGGCAATTGGCCCTGGTTATCTATAGTAAACATTTATATCTGATTATAAATAAAGGATTTTTTTTGGTTTTGTTAGTTGGATGCTGCTACTGGTTACTGTATGCCTATCTTTTTTTTTATCCAAGAAGAGATTTTAATTCTATGTCAATAAGTCATAATACTTAAATATTTAAACTTCCTTGAAGAATTTGAACATCTGTTTCCAACATAGACCTATTTTGAAAGTGCTAGAATGTGCTGATGTACATGTATGCAAAGCAAATAGCTCTAAGAATAATCATACTTTTCATTTTAATGATTCGGTTTTTTTGTTCGCTTTAATGACAAAAGTATTAATTTAGTATGTGGAGTAAAAAAAAAATCCAGTGGTCAATTGTGTTGGCATTCAAAGTTGCTAATTCTTCACGGGGAAAATAGCAACAACTATAGGTATTATTAGTTTACTACAAAAAGGAAAAAAATACGCAAAGGGCACAATTTAGCCATATGTTAAGCATACTGTCACTATTATAAAAAAAAAATTTACATTGGTCAATGGGCTGAATCTGCATTCCAGCTCAGGAAACAGCTCTTTAAACCAATGCAATGCTCTTCAAAGCAATATAAGGATTTTTAGTACTTCTAAAAGTAGACGCCTCTTTGTATTCATGAATGACCTCTCAGAAATAGACATAATCTGGAAAATGGAGATATAAATTATGGAGATGTATGGGAAGCAACTGATTGTTATTTCCTCTTATTTCTTAATCTTGAGAGGAAGATGTGAATGGGAAGTTAATGACCAATTGTATCTCTTACATTCATATCAGCAAAGTGGTTCAGAAAGAGAATATTAAGGCGCATAAGATGCTCTCTTACCAAAGAGAGTATATTTTAAACCCATTTCAGCTTCTTACAGAGATGTCTCTGTCTGTGAGTGTATACAAGGAGCTGTGGTGGTGTAGTGGTTAGAATGCAGTAGTGCAGGCTAATTCTGCTGACTGCCAGGAGTTCGATCCTCACTGGCTCAAGGTTGACTCAGCCTTCCATCCTTCCGAGGTTGGTAAAATGAGGACCCAGATTGTTGGGGGCTAGATGCTGACTCTGTAAACCACTTGGAGAGGGCTGTAAAGCACTGTAAAGTGGTATATAAGTCTAAGTGCTACTGCTATTGCACACACACCTTTGCCCTGAGATGTTGGTGATGCATATTAACAGTTTCCTTCTTATTTCTGTAGGAAACTTCTTGAGGGTGAAGAAACAAGATTCAGTGCCTTTTCTGGAAGCATCGTTGGGCCAACATTTACCCATAGGCAACCTTCCATCACAATATCAACTACCAAAATACAGAAATCAAAAGCTGAACCACCAAAACTAAAGGTCCAACACAAGTTTGTAGAAGAAATCATTGAAGAGACCAAAGTAGAAAATGAGAAAACTGAACTGGATGAAGCTCTTGAAGCCATGGCTGAAGAACTGGCTGCTGAAACTCGAGCAGGTGAAGAAAAGGAGGAGGAAGTTCTAGAAGAGGAAATTGTAGCAGTGGAAAAGGCTGAAGTCGCAGCTGCCATCCCGGAAGAAGAAGAAGAAGAGGAAGAAGAAGAGGAAGGTGCAAAATCTGACGAGGCAGAAGAAGGATCAGAAAAAGAAGAAGAAAAAAGCGAAAAGGAAGAAGGTGAGGAAGAAGCAGAAGAAGAGGCAGGAGAAGCTGAGGAAGCTGAAGGTGAGGAAGTAGCAGAAGAGCCTGAAGGAGATGTAGAAGAAGTCATTGCACCAGAGAAGGTAGAAAAGATGAAAACGTCTCCTCCCAAATCACCCCCCAAATCACCTGTGACTGAAGAAAGGAAAGAAGATGGAGGTGGTGATCAAGAGGGGGAGGTAGCAGAAGAGGAAGAAGGAACAGAGAAAGTAGAATCCCCATCAAAAATAGCATCTCCTGAAAAACCAAGCACTCCAGACAAAGGATCTCCAGAAAAAGCAGGCAGTCCAGAAAAGGCTGGGACTCCAGAGAAGGCTGGGACACCACAAAAAGAAAGTCCAGAGAAGGTTGCCTCTCCAGAGAAGGCTGGGACTCCAGAAAAAGCTGGACCTCCAGAGAAAGCTGGAACTCCAGAAAAAGCAGGGACTCCAGAAAAAGCAGGGACTCCAGAGAAAGCAGCCTCTCCAGAGAAGGCAGGAACTCCAGAGAAGGCTGCATCTCCAGAAAAAGCAGGGACTCCAGAGAAGGCTGGAACTCCAGAGAAAGCAGGGACTCCAGAGAAGGCAGCCTCTCCAGAAAAAGCAGGGACTCCAGAGAAGGCAGCTTCTCCAGAGAAGGCAGGGACTCCAGAGAAGGCAGGGACTCCAGAGAAAGCTGCATCTCCAGAGAAAGCAGGGACTCCAGAGAAGGCAGCCTCTCCAGAGAAGGCAGGGACTCCAGATAAAGCTGCTTCTCCTGAAAAGCCAAGCTCCCCAGTGAAAGATGTGGAAGAGGTTATCTCCACCACAAAGGCTTCCACCGTTGGTGCAGAAAAAGAATCAAAAGAGAAAAGTGAGAAAGCTTCCAAGGAATCGACTAAAGAAGACATAGCCGTCAATGGGGAGGTTGACGATAAGGGGGAGGAAGAAGATGACTCCAAGCGAGAAGACGACAAAGGTATCATCACCAATGGTCTGGATGTGAGCCCTTCCGAGGAGGAGGAGAAGAAGGGGAAGAGTGAGGAGAAAGTCGTGGTGACGAAAAAAGTGGAGAAGGTCACCAGTGAAGGTGACGGGACCACCACCTACATCACCAAGTCCGTAACCGTCACCCAGAAGACGGAAGACCATGACGATGCCGTGGCAGAGAAAGTGGTGTCCACCAAGACGGTGGAGAAGGTGACTTCTTCCCATGCCGTAGTCAAAGAAATCAAGGAAAACGGTGACTAAAAAATAATCATTTCCCCTTCTCTAAAGAGCTTGGATTGGTGCAAAAGGTTAAGCCATACGACAGCTGCAAAAATGCATGAAAGTGGCGGCTTCTCAGCAGAACGGGTTCTCTCATGGCGTCTCCAAAAGGACCGTTGGTTTTCTTTCTGATCTATTTATGATTTCTGTGCCATACCATACCCAGGGGGTTGGGGAGGGGATGCATGCAAGCCTGGTGCACTCCCTCTGCAGAACTTTGGGGATTATTTCTTTAAAAAAAAAAACAAAAACAAAATATCATGCATGAGCTGTTACTCTTCCAGGGGATGTTGCTGAATTTTCCTAAGCTGCTGTTTGGACGCTTCTGAGGAATGTCTTCAGATGTATTATGCAAAGAATAAACTGAGCCAAATAAACAATAACAAAAGAATGAATTTAAAAAAAATAAATACCCTTAATTCCCCTAGCCTTAAGCTACTTAACAATTATGTTTACCTCACTGGTGCAATTAAGGTGGACTTCTGTCCATGGGAGAACCTACATTGACATGCACAGTATGCAACCTTTTGTTGTTTGATGTAAAACAGTCACGGCCGTTTGTGCTCAATAAAGGTCATATTGGAAATGAGCCTGGATTGCCTGAGTCTTTGCTTTCTCGCTGAGGTCCAACATTTTAGGAGCTGGGAAAGGTCTTTGCAGTTACAGAACTTGAACTTGAAAAACTATACTGCAGTAGGACATCTGAAATCGCACCCTCCCAATTCACCCACATCTGCAGGAATATTTAGGGCTCAAATGCTACTTTGCAGGGAAGAAAAACCTCAAAAGACAAGTAAAAGTAACAAAAACCAGTAGCTCTTGGAATTAAATCTCTCTTTCCCCCACACACACACACACAATTACAATTTGGTGTTTTTGAGGTTCACAAACTGGAAGGAAATCCCTGCAACAGGAAATGTGATTCTCTGCTTCTCCTCAACCCTGCCCTAACATTAGGCATATATGTACATGCACAAGGGTGTAGTTGTATAGGTGAAAATAAATAAAATAAACTGTATGTATCTAGATCTCCCAGAAGAATCAACAAAACAAAGAAATAAATGGGAGGTTTGTTCTAAAAATAATATATAATTTGGCCCTGAGAGATTTCTTTTTTTTTCTGCAGTTAGGTCACAATAGTTGAATTGTAAAAAAAAATAATCATTTGAGTCCATATCCCGAATATTGCTTTTAAAAGGAATCTGAATTTGGTTCTGTTTTAAGCATGAGTGCATACACATATATCTTGGAGTGAAAAATTAAGCTCACTAGGAAATAGATAAGCTTACAAAGCATCCTGAACTAAATCCTTTAAACGGTGAGGATGAATTTGAACAAGTTTGTACAATGTGAACCAATGTTTGTATTTTAACATTGGATAATATGAAGGAAAAGAGAATGCAATTTCCAATAAAGATAGGATGTTTCACAATGCCCCCCCAACGGTATATATGTTGCTAAGCTGTTACAAAAAGGATTTAATTTCAACAGAAACTATAATTACAGTCCAGCCCTTCTAGTCCGTTGAACTGCAATTCCCATGATATTGGTGGGATTTGATATGCTAATATGGGATTGTGTTAGGAAAAGTTGCTTTAGAAGAAAATAATTACCCAATGTACTGCCCAATTTTAGATGGTTTACCTCTTTATAACTTCCTCAACCTCTGAGATATTTTGGGTGGGGAGGGAAAATGTCTCAGCATTAACTCAGTAATATCAATAAATTAAATACCAGCTGAGATATTGATGAGATATTCAGACTCAAAAGAACATGAAAGGATCCAGGAGATAAGAGCAACTTCTATAAGAGCACACCAAAAACCTAAAGAGTTTTTGACAAGTTTGCAGTTCTGTGTCACAATGGACAAACCATAGCCCATCCTAGGAACTCATCTCAGTTTCTGGACATTCAGTACGAGTCCAAAATGGGATTAATAATGCATATTCCTATTCTAAACATCATGATTTAAGAAGAATCAGAAGGATTCTTTAAGAAGGAGCTACATTCGCTCCAACGACTATCTAATAACGCATCCTGCTTGCTCGTTGGCCAACTGATCAATTCTAGGAAGCCCATCAATAGACCTAAATGCAATAAAATTGTTCCACTGTGCTTGTTAACAACAAGAGCTATGTTACACTCACTCAACAGGCTTAACTGGTTACTGAATTAACTAATTTTCTGGCATTGCTGAAATAATAATTAACCGAACAGACTGAGTTCTCACAACATGGTAAGCCACAAGGATAACCTACCAGAATGATTATTCAACAAGCCTAACATGATGTTCAAATAGAACCACTAGAATTGGTGAAATAAGTTATGGAATGTCTATGGAGATTCTCAGTCATCCAGGTCATGGTTGTCCCAGAGGTGCTTTTTCAAGAGGCAACTGGACTTTCTTGTTTTTCTTTGAAGATCTTTCACTTCTCATCCAAGAAGCTTCTTCAGCTCTGACTGGTGGGGGATGGAAGGATTTATAGTCCTTGCAGACAACTGGCCAATTGCATTCTTTTAGAGAGTAGTTGAGGCCACTTGGAGGTTTATCTGTCCCCTCAGGGTCACCTAAGTAGTGCAAATGGGTCTGGAGCCTTCTTGGAACTGCTAAAAGGACTGTGTTGTAGATTGGAGATAGATGATGTTGTATCCCTCCCCCTCTGTTGAGAGAGGGCTGTTCAATTTTGACATAGATGGCCTCTTTGGCCCTTCTTTCAAACCAACGGTCCTCTCTGTCCAAAATGTGGACTTTGCTGTTTCGAAAGAGTGGCCTTTGACTTTTAAATGCAGATGGACTACTGAATCTTGTCCTGATAGGTTTGTTCTCCTTCCAGCAGTTCCAAGAAGGCTCCACACCCATTTGCACAACTCTTACCAGTTTTTCTTCTGCAGTTTTCATCTGTTATCTGCCTCAAAATAGTTTAAAACTTTATTTTTCAGCAGTTGGGAAAGATTCAGGACTACCAAAAATTAATCTGGGACCTCAGATTGCCTATTGTGGTATAGAAAAATGGGGGGAGAATGCCAACATTGCCTCTTGCCCCCCACAAAAGACTTGCACATTGATCAATAAAGTTAAGCAATCTTTCATACCAATTGACCTGTCCTTGAGAAAAATTGTTCAGAAAATGAATAGTAAGCACATAATTAATCAATTTTTTGTTATTCATTTAATTTTTATGTCTGGCTATGTCAGCAAGTGACAGACAACCTCACAATCATGTTAGATTCCCAAGGTGCTTTTCCAAAAGACAACTGGACTTTCTTGATTTTTTCCCTGAAAATGTTTTGCTTCTTATCCAAGAAGCTTCTTCAGTTCTCAAGGAAAAAACCAAGTAAGTCCAGTTGCCTTTTGGAAAAGCACCTTTGGGACAACCATAATCTGGATGATTGAGAATCTCCATGGACATTTAGCTAATCTTGTTAGATGTTCATCCTGCCTTTTGTCTAAGCGCTAAAGTCCATGTAGCTAACACTCCCTTCTCCATTTTTTCTCTCACAATGAACAAACCTGGGAACTGTGTTGGATGGAGAGACAGACTCAAATTCACCAAGTGACCTTCTCTTTAGAATGGTGGAAGGAGCCACAAGGAAACATGTAGATCAAAATACAAAAAAAACCCTAAGAAGACTAGAGAACAAAATTTGAAAAGTTAAGCATCCTTCACAAAGACATATGTAAATAATCTGTCTCCCATAATATTTGCCCATCTGATTCAGTCTGGCATGATCTGCACACTCCAACTTCCTTCTATTAATGTCTTCTGTTGAGAACCTGGAAGCACGCCTTCCGTGTAGTTGCACTTGCCCTCTGGAATGAGGTTCCCACCTCAAGATCCCAAAGATCGCCCACTCTACTGCTGTTTTGAAGGATCTTAAAGACCTTCATCCAGTCCTTTGAGCTCTATTTTGACTGTAGGTCAGGGGTAGGCAACCTTGGCTCTTTTATGACTCGTAGACTTCAATCCCCAGAATTCCTGACCCAGCCTACCCCTGGTGTAGGTTGTTCTCCTTTCCTTCCATCCAGTTTCGTCCTTCTCGTCATCTATTCTTCATTTTTGTTGCTTACTGCTTTTCTCATCTTTAAGATTTTTAAACTACCCAGTTGCTAGGAGAGAGGGACATATAAATCAAAAGGGGATGAAGAAGGGAAAAATAACTTTGATGTCAATTCCTTCCACCTCCTATTTGCTAAGTAGCCCTTTGAGTAGCCAACAAAGTCGTGCCCTGCCCTTGTTCCCTTTTTTATTGCTATTGTTGGTTTCCTTCTCTTTGGAAGTTGCCCGTTTCCCCCCTCTCTTTCGTTGCAATGTGTCAAAAAAACCTGGTCCAACTCCAGAGTTCATAAACATAATGGATTATTCCTAGTGACTAATAGTTGCAGCGGAGGGGGAAAAAATCCTGGGTTATCCTGTTTCTAGATGCTTAGCTTTCCTTCAGTTTGTAGTACTGATTTCACAAAAGTCACAGTGAGCTTGTAAATGAAGCAGAGAAAGCAGAATTGTTTTTTATATTTGATATGAGAAAGATGCACTATTTGCACTGAATTCAAGGGGAACATACTTCTAAATGAAGAATCTATTCTTTCAAACAAATGAGTGCAAGAACTGGATTTTTCGAAGAGATGAACAAATTACAAGAGGGGACTTAATGTCGATTGAAAATCGGTTAGCGTTTACAGTATTGTCTTTCTCAGCCAATGTTTAGTGTTGTTTTTCAATAATTGGTCAATAGCTTAAACAGTAAAAGGTAAAAACAGATTCTGCTAAGCATTGGGGTGCTTGTTTCAGCCCTCACTAAACTCAACCATTATGACCAACAGCAAAACGTTAGGATCTCTAGTCCAATTGGGAAGACCTTAAATTGTCTGTCCCAGAGTTAAACTCAATAGATCTGGAGGTTCTGTATAATTGGTTTGTTTCTAGCATTGTCTGTAAACATCACTATAATTGGAAGCTGTTTGTTTGATTTTCTCACAGGGT